GGGTTACATTGAATAGAAGAATGTTTTCAGTATGATGGCCATTTCACAATATTAATCCTACTCATCCATGGGTATGGGATATCTGTCTGTCTTCTGGTGTTTTCTTCAATTTATCTCTCCAATGTCCTATGTGTCTTATAATATAAATCTTTCTCTTACTTATTAGAGTTATTCCCAAAAACTTTTTGAGGCAATTGTGAAAAGTATTGTCTCCCTAGTTTCTTTATCAGTCTGTCATTTGTATAGAGGAAGGCTAGCTTCTTTTGTGTGTTAATTTTTATCTTGCTTCTTTGCTGAAAGTATTTATCATTTGTAAAAGTTTCCTAGTGGAGTCCTCTGGGTCTTTTATATATAAAACCATATTGTCTGCAATTAAGGATTATTTCACTTCTTCCTTTCCTATTTGTATCTCCTTGGTCTCCTTAGTTGTCTTCTTGCTCTATCTTTGATACTATATTTGACAGATATGGCAATAATGGACATACTGTCTTGTTTTGATCTCATGGGAATGTTTTGAGTTTCTCTCTGTTTAGGCTGATGGTGGATGTGGGCTTCCTGTAATTGTCTTTATTTTGTTGATATATGTCCCTTGTTTCCCTGGTCTCTGCAGGAATTTTATCATGAAGGGATGTTGGATTTTTGTCAAAGGCTTTTTCTGGAATTTTATCATGAAGGGATGTTGGATTTTTGTCAAAGGCTTTTTCTGTACCTGATGAGATGATCATGTCTTTTAATCTGTTTATGTGGTGGGTTATGTTTATTAGTTTATGCATACTGAATCATTGCTGAGCTTCTGGGAGGAAGCCAACTTGATCATGGTGGATAATCTTTTTGATGTGTTCTTCAGTTGGGTTTGTCTGTTCTTTTCAGGTGTTGTTTCTTTTTCCAAAGATTTTGAATGTAACATAATGTTATCTATATGAGATTTCTTCAGTTTTTATGTAGCCACTTCATGCTATGAAATTCCCTTCTTGAACTGCCTTCATTGTGTCTCATAAGTTTGGGTGTGTTGTGTTTCCATGTTAATTCAATTCTAAAAGTTTTTGTTGTTGTTGTTGTTTGTTTGTTTGTTTTTTGTTTTTTGTTTTTTTTGAGACAGGGTTTCCCTGTGTAGCTTTGCTTTGCACTTTTCCTGGAATTCAGTTGGTAGCCCAGGCTGGCCTCGAACTCACGGAGATCCACCTGCATCTGCCTCCCGAGTGCTGGGATTAAAGGTGTGCGCCACTACCGCCTGGCTCTAAAAGTTATTTAATTTCCTTTGTGATTTCTGTCTTGACTCAGTTCTCATTCAGTAAAGGGTTGTTTAGTTTCCATAAAATTGTATGCTTTCTACTGTGTCTATTGTTGCTGATATCCAGCGTTAAGCCGTGGTGGTCAGGTAGGATGCAGAATCTTATTTCAGTTTTCCTATATTTTTTAATTATTGGTTTCTATAAAAAATATTGCAAATTTTGGAGAAAGTTCCATTGGCTACTAAGAAGAAAGAATATGCTTTAGAATTTGGATGGAATTTTTTGTAGATGTCTGTTAGGTCCATTTGATTTATAATGTTATTTAGCTACAGAGTTTCACAGTTTAGTTTTTATCTGGACAACCTGTCTACTGCCAAGAGTGGAATACCAAAGTCACCAACCATTACTGTGTAAAAGATAAATACAATTTTAGATGTTTTAGTGTTTCCTTTATGGAACTGGATGCTTTTTTGTATTTGCTACATAAATTTTAGACTTGTAATGACCTCTTGGGGTTTTTCCCTTTAATGACTATGTAGTGTACTTTTCTATCTCTTCTGATTAGTTTTGGTCTAAAGTCTATTGTGTCTGCTAATTTCTTGGTTCTGTTTGCTTGAAGTACCTATTCCATCGTTTTACCCAAACATGGTATCTGCCCTTGATTGTGTGGTATATTTCTTGAGGCAGCAGAAGGATAGGCTCTGCTTTCTAATTAACTTTGTTAGTCTGTGTCTTTTTATTGGGGGATTGAGACTGTTAATGTTGAGAGCTATTTTTTTTTTAACATATGAAGCTATTTAATTATGTTATTAGCAGTTTAGAAAACCAGTTGAGGGGGATACATCCCATTTGTCAGAGAGAATTGAGATCACAAGCAGCCCTGAAGCTGAAGAACAGCTTTGATCTTTGGTAAAATCTCCCAAGTCCACAGTTTTCTGTGCTGCTCTGTAATCGCATATTTCTCCTCTGTGTGGAAGGTCTCACCCTCCTGGTTTCTGGGCTCACACGGCTGCTTCTTGAAATAAGCACCAGTCAAGTGTTGGGGGTTTTTAACCTTGCTGACATCAACTTTTTTTTTTTTTTTTTTTTTTTTAAGAGATGACAATAACAGGGTGGGCTAGGGGGAGGGGTGGGCGAGAGGGGGAGAACAGGGGATTCTGTGGCTATTATGTTGAACTGAATGGTGTTGTAAAATAATAATAATAAAAAAAAAAGAGATGACAATAACAAACTTCTGGTGTGTTCTGCACAGAGGAACTCTGTCGAGGACAAGAGGTCCAGTCACAGGTAGCATACCACTGCACAACTGCTTCAGGAAAATCACTTTCTTACCCCTACGCCCCCTGCAACCCCCCACCCCTGTTTGGATGATCAGCATGGTTCCAGGAGTGATACTGGCATGCAGCCGTCTCATATGCTGACTAAGGGGCTTTTTTTTTGCGGTGACTCAGCAGCCTCCAAGGCATGTCATTGGTAGGATAATATCGTGAAGCTTAACCATCCGGGTACCACCATTCTTGTCACCTCCAACAAACTGTGTTTTGTGACAGTAGCAAGGACCTTCTTCTTTTTCAACCTTGGATTTTGCAGCTGAGTGTTTCCTTTTTGTACATGGTCTTTCTAGAATGCATAGCAGATCGGGATATCTGGCAATTCCTCTAGCCAAGACAGGGTTTCAGCTGCAATGAGGCTTCCCCTTCTTGGACTTTGTGAGCTCAGGGTCGTCCTTCATGGCTCACCGGCAGGCGCATCACCGCCAACCTTCTTGGCTGAAGGTTTCCTCTCTTTTGTGTCAGGCTTCTTCTTCTTTTTTTTTTTTTTTTTTTTTTTAACCAGCCATCTTACAAGATGGGAAAGAGAACTAAGGTCCGGACTTCTGGTCTGTACGAAATCATTGAGAGCTATTATTATAACAGTATTTGTTAATTCCTGTTATTTTGTTGTTGCTTGAATCTTTGGGGGTTAACTACTCTGGGATTGTTTCTTTTGTCCCCTTGGGTGTAGTTAACCTCTTTACACAGACAGTTTCCTTCTAGTGTCTTCTGTAGAGTGGATTTGCTGTTTAAACTTGTTCTCATAATTTTTTTCCTTTGTCTTTTGATTGTGATGTAAAGTTTTCTTGGGTACAGTAGTCTGGGATGGCACCTGTGGCCTTTCAGAGCTTGTAGAACATCTGTCCTGGTACTTCTGGCTTTCAAAGTCTCCACTGGCAGGCACTATTCCATCGGGGTCTGCCTTTATATGTGACTTGGTCTTATTCCCTTCGTGATGGCTATTAGAGGTTGTCAACTTGACTATGTCTGGAATGAACTGAAGGGCACACCTGTGAGAGATTTTGTTGCTTGGTTTGAAATGGGTGGATCCACTTCTAGTCTGGATATTTGAGGTAGGAAGACATATCTTTGTTCTAGATCTTAAGGTGGGAAGACACTCACTTAATTCAGATCTTGAGTCAGGAAGTGAAGGGACCAACTGGAGTACTGTGGAGTGCTCCCCTCTGGACCCTGATTGGGTGCAGACCACACCCAAACACCAATTTTCAAGCACAAACCAAACACAAAGAGATCCTTTATTAAGCAAAGCAGAGAGGCAAGGTGGCTGAATTTGTAAGTGTTAATTTCAAGAAGGAAGAAGGGAGGTCTGTGTTAGAATGAGCTAGGAAATGTTTCAGATTGGATATTTAATTAGTCAAATAATGAATTTTGATTGCTGGACTTTGATGTCTTGATAGTTGGACCTTGGTGATCAGTCTCTGGAATGAGTCAGGCTTAACAAAGTGGCCAAATAAGGGACTAGACCTTGGTGGCTAGCTTTAGGAATGCAATCTGACTGTTTAGCAAGGGAGAGGTAATGGGAAAAGGCAAAACCCACCAGTGCCATGTTTGCTATGCTCAGGCCTGTGTTCGCCATGCTAGAGCTCTTCAGGAAGACATACACCTTTAATTCAGATCTTGAG